TGTGTGTTAAATACAGTAATGGGACACATAACTGAGAGTGCGCCTTTTAGTCCGGTGCGCCTTATGGTCGTGAAAAAACGGTATTTTCACTGATTTTTTTTCTAATCATTTTATCTTTTTTCTTTATTACTCTTTTTTAGATGAAGTTTTTTTGAAAAAGAATGCTTTTTGTAAAAACGCAACTTGATAATCTAATTCATGAAAAAGCAATTTTTTGAAGAAATACAATTTGAAATATAAATAAAATCTCTAAAAAAAAAAAAAAAATTGGACAATATAACATCTGAGCAAACAAAGTTACTCCCACAACATTTTCTTGATTGAGGTGTTTTTCTAAGTTTAATTTCTGGACTGCCCTTATTTTTAAATACCATTTACAAAAAGTTTTTTTTTTCTTTCCAACAATAATGGAACAAATTCCACTCCATAATAAGGCGGTTGCTGAACTCTTCCTGTTAAAACTTCTCTGGATTCACTTTGTAAGCTTATTGCAACAGCTTTTAAAAGAGGAAAACATCTGTTGATGGCATTAGATCATCCGTGTGTATGGTAAAAACCAAAAAAAACAAAACAAGATACTATCTTAAGCTTAGTATTTGGGATCACAAAAGGCTAAAGAATATAAATAGAAACTTTACATTATTTCTCTCCTAAACCTAAAGATCATAGCAACAATAAAAGGAGCAGAGCGGGGAGATAAACCAACGTACCAGAGGGGCTGGTGCGGATGTAGACCACCTTGCTCTTGGCCCCAGGCATGTGTTTGTCCTCCACCATGAGGGTGATGGCTTTAACAAAGATGGCGTACTGCGTCCATGGTTTAAGGCCTGAAAGCAGAACGCCGGGGTCCGTTTCCTTATCGGGCCTCAGTTCCACATCCACCATATTCCAGCTGTTGGAACCGCAGCCATCCTGGCGGTCAAACTCGGTGATGTTCTGGAACGGCCTGGAAAGAAAATATATTAGTTCATTATTGGTTAAAATTACACAAACCCAGAGGAAAACAGAGCAGTTCTTACAGTATTAAACCAAACTCTGTTTTATGTTTTTATTTTTTCCCTCTCCACTCAGTAGCTCATATGGGAGGATAAAAAAAGAGCAGTAAATAGCTGAAACTTACGCCTCCTTGTAGTAGACTATAAAGCTGATGAGGTCTCTGTAGTCGGGAGGTCGGTAGCGCTGCCAGGTCAGCTTGATCCTGGTGCTGCTGGTGCTGTTGTACGTAAACTGCAGGATGGTGCTTTCACCTACGAGGGCAGCAGAGAATTAGAAATGCTCACCTATAGTAATTTGATCTGTGTGCACTAAATAAGGCTGCAATTAGCCCCGCAAGCAGTCTGACTAGTACATAGGTGTTTGTGAGCTGCTCCTAAAGTGGAGCGAACTGGACGTAGCAATTTAAATGTTTGTGGTTTTTGGATGGAGGCTGGTTCCGACTCTTACAGCTCGCTCTGTCGCCGTTGTTCCGGAAGTCTGTCTCATCAAAGGGGCTCTGGATGCCCGTCTTTTCCCACATCTTGCGGATCTCAGACATGCAAAGCTTTGGGTTGATCTGGAAGAACAGCTTGCCCGCTCCTATGGTCAGGTTGTGCTGCTTCCAGTCCCAGAGATACTGGAGCTGCTGGTTGTCGAATGCTGAGAAGGCATACAGGCTGGAGGGACAAAGCAGATAAACAAGACAGGGAAGGAAAGTCAGTAACACTGTGCTTTACTCTAAACCGGTGTTTGCAATGAATCATGCCAGACTGAAAGTAAACCTTCTTTACTTTTCTTATTTTAACTCTTCAAACAGACCTTTTAGTTGGAAGTTTATTGCAAGCAGACCAAATCACCTATTAAATCATGTTATTAACCAGACAGGGGTTTTATGAATCACTGGGTGACGTCCAAACATGAAGGAATGACTGTAATGTTTGCCTTGGGACAGTCAGACTCCAGTGAACTCAAAAAACAAACAGATGAAGGAGGCAGTGAAGGCCTCATCATGACCCTTTCCAGAAACTGGAAGATTACGCTGCTTTCAAGGTTTGTTTAGGCTGCCGACGAGCGGCACTTGTTACTGGACCGGATACATTAGGCCACAAGTGGGGAAGCAGGTTTCAAAGTCTCCTCTGGAAGCAGGAAAATCGGACAAACATGGAGCCTTAACCGGATGCAGCCACCACCGTGCTTCTCTGTAGGTGTGTGGAGCTTTACTTGGTGCTTAGTGCCGTTTGTTTCTGAAACATTACCTTAAAAATTATGACCAAAAAGGTTAAACTTGTTTTTTTTTTTTCCTAAAACCATCACACCATTTTCCTACATGCATTTAGGGTTCTGCCATCTGAAGACCACATGAGATAACTTAACAGTTCATTGCCATCATTAGATGTCTTTGTTTCCATATTCCTCCTTTTTTTTCAGTTTTTACTCCACTATTTCTCCCATGAAAGATGTGTTTAGTGTAGGGCTCAAACAATCAGATTAATCGATTATGGAAATAATCGTCAACTAATTTAGTAAACATTCATCTTTACTTGAGTATAGAGACTCTATAACATGCCTTTAGCTAACAGAGTGACCAACTTACGGTGCGTTCACACCAAAGGCATTATGAGTAGGAAATAAAACACAAGCTATGAAATCTGGACGCTGAATCAGACTGTGGTCAAGCTGCTTAGATGCCTCAACGCTCTGGTTGTTTATCTGCTCTTTTCTGTAGCTTTAAGCTAAAGAGCAGCTTGGCTTCATTTACTTTATGAGTTGGAAGCTTTGATTTAACACGTTTCTAATTGAGAAGTTGTCCAAATATCCTCTGTTCATCAGTTCATCAGGATTATGATCCCACTAAAATAGGCAGTTCTTGTTTGGATCTCCAGTATACCACCGGGGGAGACAGCGCTGGAAACCCCAGCTGAAAGCTCTCTGCTGCAACCAGCCTGTGGGGGATTTTTTAAAAAACATTTGGAGTTTAATTCTCTCGATATTATTCATATGCAGAATGTCTAAATAAACAATAATGGGTTGCAGATAGTGTCGATCTAACCCCAAAAACTCCTGGATCAGCTTTTCTTATTGGTTGACTCTCCAGCCTCCAGTGGCAAAAGTTCAATTTACAGCACGATGTGAAACGTTGAACGCTCGTATGCACGCTGGACCTCTCAATGCCGTCCCCAATAGGCTTTGCATGCAGCTCAATAGATATCAGCGGCTTAAGGCCAATTTAAACTTCCGACACATGGCCTCTCCAAACATCAAATCTGTCTCTGTGTGCGACCATGAGAGAGACTCTGCAACCGTCGCCGCGCACCTAATAAAAATCCTAACTACACGTCAGATGGTCGCAAACCCACGCAGACAAAAAGCAGCTATGACTGGCCCTTGGTATGCCTTTCCAGCTGTCTGTTTGGTCGTCCTTCTCGATTCGGTGCCGGGGGACGCCATTTTTAAAAAGCGAGGAGTAATAACAACAATGGATAACCACGACGAAAGGTTGATCGAGGAGGTTCGGAAGTACAACCACCTGTAGGATGCCTCTGACATGTTGTTTTGGAAAATAAACACTCTCGCTGGCATCATGACCATACGCCGAAGTTCTTGCAAGTTCTCGAATAGGCTCCACCTCGCACTTTGGTGGGAAACGGCAATGGGTCCCTAGAAATTCCAGACTGACGTTGCGGAAGCATACCAGCAGACTGGTTTGCGACCAGACGCAAGCGACATTTGTTGTGTGCGGTTGCAGAAGTATAATCCGCCCCTTATAGCCCAGCGTGGCTTATGTGTACGTTTCAAGTTTTTAAAAGAAATTTACCTACGTTCACACCTCAGGCCTTTTTTCTTTTTTCTGAAATCTGATTATTTTGCGTGGTTGTTCAAGTTTCCAAATATATTTGACCTGTGTGTGATTTCCTGCATTTTATCAACCTAAGTGACCCGCATGAGCAGTAGAGGATGCAATGACGTCACAAATAGCGAGCGTGTTCTTTGTTTATGGAAGTAAACATGGATGGTAAAGCTGGTGCGCATCTAGTGATCTTTCATTTCTTTCACAACCTCGGACGTGCATCAACAATACAATCTTTTCAAGATGGTTAAAAAAAGGACTGCCCTCCATATATTTGTCCACCATGATTGCTGTTTTTCTTCCTGCTTCTGCGTATAAAGACACACAATAGTAACCTTGGTTGAGTATCAAAGACGTTAAGGTCGGATGAATGCGACCTAGCCGTTCACACAGAGAGGTTGCATTTAAAAGATCAGATTCGTATCGGATTCAGGACCACAGAGCCAAGTGGCCTGGGTCGCATAGGAAAAAAATCAGATCTCTGTTGTTCAGGCTACCATTAAAAGATCAGATCCAGGTCGCATATGGGCAAAAAAAAGTTTGGATTTGGGTCACTTCAGGCTTAGTAGATGCCGCTTACAGTGAGGTGTGTTCTACAGGCCAGAAAAGACGGCATCTGTAATAACTTTTTCAAAAAATATTGGACCCTATATATTCTTCCTGGAATGACCCAACCACACCTGTGTTAACAATAAGACTTTTAAGATTATTTGGTTTTAAATCAAAAACAAATTAAATCAATTATATAGATACAGTTTTAAAAGAAATATGCAGCTATGCGGATTTGATCTGGTTGCGTGTGGATTGGTCTTACTCGTCATGAAGGCTTTCTCCATCAATGTATCTCAGACTGCGGAGGAAGGCCAGTGAGCTCAGAGTGTGTGAATGTGTGATCCGGACATGACCCGTCACCCTCTGGATCAAACCAGTGAAGCTCTCCAATTCTGCTACCATGTTATCTGGAAAAAAACGAAAAACAAATACTGGTTTTGCAGCATTTCCTCCTTACTTCCAGCCTTCATGCACTTTGTTCTACGGCACTGCACATATAAGCACTGCATGCTTTCTAATTCTGCTCTCTTATCATTTCAGGTCTAGATGAGATTTAATCACTAATTAGCAGAAAACATGATTGATAAAAATAAACCTTGTTAAACCTCAAACAGTAACTTGTTATAGAAATCTCTTTCTATGCATAAGTTAGTTCAGAATGAATCCTAATTGAGAAAGTTCTCTTACCATCCGCGCACAGGAAACGAGGAAGCCTGCTTATATAGCTCTAATGTCTATAAAGTCACTGACAACTTTTACAGCAGAAATAAATAGTGTGGTTCTGCTGTGGTGGGCTGCGGTACTTACGGCCTCTACGGATGGTGATTTGCAGGTCGCCTTTGATAACGGTGCAGCCTTTGAGAGACTGCGCAGCATCCACGGAGTCGATGACCTTCCCGTCGCAAACTTTGTCACAAACGCCATCGCAGGCCTGGCACGACATGCTGAGCGTTTCACAGACAGACGGGAAAGAAGAAGCTGGTTAACAAACTTTATCACTCTGCTCACTATCAGCCTCTGAAGTCTTCAGACTTCTTTATCATTTGTTCTCAGATCAAAGAATCATGAAGGTTGATGAATAAGAAAATGTATTAACTTTTAGCTTTTACTCATCAGAATATATGGGTTTTTGTATACAAACTAAGAGAGGCTGAATAAAAATGCTATGCTGAATGATCTTTCAACAAAAAAAACAGTTAAACGTATTCATATTTGTGGTTCTGATTCAGGGGTCTACGGAAGAGGATTAGGGCCACTGAAAAAAAAAAAAGTAAACTGATTTTTAAATTTTATTTCAGTTTAACATGGGAAAAAAGTCAGAATTCTGAGATTAATCTCAGAATTCTGACTTTTTTCTCAGAATTCTGACTGAATTCTGACAATAAAAAAAGTCAGAATTCTGAGATTGAAGTCAGAATTCTGAATTTTTTCCCATACTATACTGAAATAAAATTAAAAAAATCAGTTAACTTTTTTTTTTTTTCCCAGTGGCCCTAATCCTCTTCCGTAGGGGTCTGTCTCAGAGGTACAATCAAAAGAATCATTACCAATTTTGTTAACTTACTACTTTAGTCACTAAATTTAGCGCCTTTCAGATCCTTCTATCAACTTTATTTCAAAAAAGCACCAAACTCTGTCCTCCTGAGCGAGTGGATCTTTAGCTTGCCTGTCTCTTTCTGTCCGCTGTCATCATGCAGAGCAGGCGCAGCAGCAGAGAGTATACGTTTCCACTTTGAATCCAGATTGCTAAAGTGCAAAGTTGCTGCTAATCCCGCCCTAAAGCCTGTCATACATTGTATGATTTTTTTCAATCAGTGCACGCAGCTACAGCTCACACAAAAAAAACTTCAGGGTTTCATCATAAAGTGCGAGTTCACAGCTCACGATGTATGCTCTCACACTGTGCGGCCAAACGCTCTGATGCGATCTACAGGCAAGGATGCAGAATAAACTTTAAACAATTCTGTCTGTAAACAGACAAACTCCTTTAGTTATCACCTATGTAGCGCCCATTTAGCTGAGCTGTATGACGGAGCACCGTTACTTCTCTGCTGTGCTTTGAGGTTTAGGATGATGGAAAAAGTGGACGGCATTATGCAAAACATTCATACCATAATAGAAAAAAAGATGTGATACCTCTAAGCATTACTGACTGCAAGGGAAATTAGGTAATACATTTAATAGAGCTAAGTTTTGTACCGAGTTGATGTAAATCAAACTCGTATAATAAAAGGTACAAGGAAACAAAGAGGAACTTAGATACATGCAATGGGTAAATACTAAACAGCTGGGAAAGATTAACGAGGGAGAAACCAATCACAGGGGAGAACAGGGAAATCAAAGAGACACAGAACATGAAATATTCCTCTGAGGGCAACCAGACCCACTGCTGACAGCACACAGTGTCTGCTGCCACTGATCTTTAGATTACACTGAAATCAGAGAGCTCTACCACAGGCCCCGCCCACTTCATGGATAACCTGTAGTTAGTGTATTCCCAGTACGCAACATCCTTTCTTTAAATGTTAGTTTAAACCTTTGTTCATGTTATAAATGTTCATTCATATGTTTTATTCTATTCATCTTTTTTTTTTTATTCAGTAAGTTTTGTTATACTTTATAAAACATTTTATGTTTTATTTGTTTATTGAGTCAGTATTGAATACAGCTGACAAACGAAAAAAAAAAATAATAATTATTGCAAGCTATTCATTGTTATCTTGATAGAAAAGAAACTGCAGCTTATCTTTAAAGATCTGCCGGACTGACTGCAGCTTACCTGTCGGGTGTGGATCGGGTGTATCCGGGCGGACAGTCAGACATGCACTCTCCTCCATGGATGACGAAGGTATAGTACTCCGGAAGGTGAACTTTGGAGCAGAACTCAGCAGTGATGCAGCGCCAACCCTCGAACCTGTATGTGCCTGGAGGGCAGTCGGCCACACACCTTCCATCGTGGTAGTAATGCACGCATGCAGCGCATGCCATTTCGTCGTCAGGAAGCGTGCAGCTGCCCAGACACTGAGGATGGCAGCACTTGCCGTCGGCTGTGCACGCTCGCCGGCCACAAGTTTCTGGGCACTCTGAAGGAAAAGAACCAAGGAGGGGAGGGAGTGTATTTAGATATACAGCAAGAGCAACTAAAACATTTTGCTTAGGGTGGACTGGATGCTCAGTGAGCTGAGATGAGCCTTTTATGAACTCCTGCCTAAAGGCTGACGGATATTTTAGGCAAATATTTACCTTGTTTTCTTCTGAGTAGGGTTGTCATGATACTAAACTTTTCAACTCGATACCGATACTAAGGAAAATATTCAATACCCTTTTCAATACCACAAGAATAAAAACAAAGACTCTAAAATTCAACAGAAATATTTTCATTACTAAAAAATACAATAAATAAATAAAAAAGAATAATATTTTGAGGTTGTCTGCTGTGCACAATATTAAGCAAGCTTGATAAAAAACTTACAAAATTAAACTTAAGTGTTCCTTCCTTGGCTATGTTTTGCACATACTTACATACATACTTTTTTGAGTATCGATACTTTTGACAACCCTACTGGTAAGGTGTCTGAATGGATACTCCCATGTGTTCGCTGATAATTAGTGCACTCGGCAGCCATGTGCTGAGAGAGGGCTGCTCCCCCTATTTTTACTATCCTTCGTTAATATGTTTTAATTTGCTGATTAAGAGACAGAAATACCGCCTTAAAAAAAAAAATCAACTCAAAAGACAGAAATCCATAACTGCCTTAAGAAATCAGAATCAGTCGACCTCGAATGCTGCTTTAACATAGCGGTTTGGCTTTATCGAAGAACGACCGACATGGAGCTAACTAAATACTAGTGATCATATAGATGAGCGGAGGCTTTGAGGCATGCTGGGTAGTGGAGGAGGCATTTCTGCAAATTTAGGGGAGGAGCTGAAACCCGGCCACATCATGTGACTTTTGACGTGACTTTAGATGTCAGTTCAGGTTTTGGATAGAGCGATAGTTTGTGGTTCGAAGACTCCAGATGAGAGAAGGGAGGAAAGTTTGAAAAGAATGAGGAAGAGATGGGTGCTGCAGAGAAGAAATAAAAACAAAAGTAATTTCTTTTTAATCACCCCGTTTTTTTTTTCCTAACATACCTCAAAATCTTTTTTTGAGAGTCAGGAACATATTTTCCCCTGCTTGTTAATGTATTAATTTCAAAGGCTGAAGACACAGAGAAAAAAAATTATCTATTTAAACCAGACTTTTGAAAAATTCTTGTTTCTAATTAAAAAATCTCCTGTTTTTCACATCATTGTCCAGAAACACTTTCACTTCCCTCTTCCAAGTTCCACCAACACTGCTTCTGTCTGCTTAAGCAGATATTGGTTAATGCTGCAAATAATATTTAGTCTCTTTATTCCTTGTTAATAAAAACATTAAAACCAAAGGGTCATTATAACTGAAAGGCAGCTTGAAAAGAAGCGGGAAAAGATGAAACGTCTGAAACATTTAAATGAAGCCGGAAGGAATTAAAGGAATTATGAAGTTTATGAAGTGAATTTTGTTCCATTATTGCTGCAAACAAAGTTCAGCTTTTGTGAATGAAAATGTGGTTTTTGGACCTTCTATTTGTTTTATTTTATTTTTTTTTAATTTCCTTTTCCCCCCCAAAATTAATTCTATTAATTTCTTTCTCTTCCAACTGAGTTTTCCAGAACCCATTCGCTTCCATTCTGGAGGCGGGCTTTCCTCTGGTGTAAGCAGTAAAGACGCATTCCTATTGGTCTACATAGTTTTCAGGAACATTTTTATTGGTTAACAATGATAGCCTGTATTGGTTTTCCAATTCAAAGAGGAACAAAATCAAATCTGAAACTAAAATAATCCGTAAAAATAATATTTAAACAAAATAATGATTCAAAATCTGAAATAAAAAAATGTATTATGCACAAAATAAAAAACAAAAATTTATTATGCACAAAATAAAAAACAAAAATGTATTCAATAACAAAATCTAAGAAAACAGAAAGGTTACTGTACTCTAGTATTTCAAACTATTATTTCTGGATAGTTTTTTTTTTCTATTCACATTTTCAAAATATTCTCTTTGCTTGGAACGATAACGGAACAAAATTCACCCCATAGAGGTGCAGCATAAAAGCAGAAACATAAGCTGACCTGCTCAAATGTATTTGTGAATGTGCGCCATAAAAACATCACCAACAGCTTATTAAACAAAGGAAATTATAGCATTAAATGATTCATGTTTGTTAATCTGTCAGTTCTGCAGACCACAAAGGGAGGCAGACGACCATCTGAGGGAGGAAATAACTGGATGAACTTATAAACTGTCAATTTTAATATGTCATCATTTTAGGTCAGCCAGAGGCTGTGTTTAAACACAAACTAAACAACTTGAGGTCTGCAGGAAAAGATGCTGCTTTTAAAGGACGGAGCTGAATGATGGAAGATGCTAAAAAGTTCTTCATCCGCCAAGTATTTCAAACAAACTAAAGACAACAAATGAGAAGTGATGCACACTGCTGCCTGCTGTTTAAATATCACAGCTTTATCCATCCAACCTGTTGGAGGAAGAGCCGGGGTCGGTCAGAGGAACAGGATGTCTGTTAGATCCAACCAGAAAATACCAAGACCGGGTTGCTTCTAAATGAAGTTCAAAAAGTTTACATTTTACAAAATGTTAAAATTTTACAGCAATTTCCACAGGTGTATATTGCTTATTTATTCTCCAGGTGACTGTAGAGTAGGTATATTTGTAAAAACACTATATGTTATTTAATTTCATTTACTTTTTTATTTTAGTTTTGTTATTTTCATTTGTGTGACCACTTTTGCTGTAATGCTGCTGTAACACCACAATTTCTCCACTGTGGGAGAATGAAGGGATTTCTTATTCATTTTTATCCCTGGAACTCATTTTTTAAATTCTTGTGATTATCAGTTAAAAAAAAAAATGAAATTCAATCTTATTTAGCAACAGATTTATTTTTATAAACCAATCAGAACTGCAGACTGTGTGGCCTTAGCCACCATTTAGCAGGCTGGTCAGCAGCAGGAAGCCGGTGCTGCGTCTGCTGGCACAGAATGTTCTCCCCCTGATCGGACCCCCCTCCTCCTCCCACCTCATCCTCTGACCTCCTCTGATGAGGCAATGACAGGTAGAAAGGTGTCATTTATTACAAAGCAAAGCCTCGGCCCCACAGAGAGCTACACAGAATCCCTCTGTGAAGTTTGCTGCAGACTTGAGGTGTCAGTCTGTCGCTTCCTGAGCAAAAACAAGCGCGTCTGATGGGGAAGGTTGGAGTGACAGGAAGCGGTCACAGAGTACGCCTTGAAAATAACTCATTTCAGTTTCTGTCCTGCTCTCCACACCATCCAGATCTTTCATGTCTACCTTATCTGGTCCCGTTGCTGTAACGGCTGTTTGTGAGAACTTGAAAAAAATCATGTGGACTAGATTTGTCCAGATATTGTCGTCGCCAGACAATAAATTCCAAGCAGGAAAAACAGCTTTGGACGATTTAGTTTTAATGGCATTTATTGTATGGATGAAAAATATCACACACAGACTCACACAAGTTAAATGATTCACCATTGAATCCTCGGCATCCCCACAACGCAGCCACCGCCTTTGGCTTTAAACCAATCTCACCTTTTTTTTTTTCCTATAATTTGTCTGCCTTGCTACTCCCTAGCCAAACCACTCTCATGTAACGAGACCATCCGCCTGGCTAGCACCTGATGTACCAAAGTGAAACCTAGTTGTAACCCGGGTGAAAAACTCTGCATTTTCACGTTGCTAAATACCTGTCTGCGTATTACCTCATCACGTCGCTACGTGCCGTCCAACCTGTATATCACCAGGAAATCAAGCTTGACCATGACCTGGACGATAGAAAACCTTCACAGATATCTTAGGTCCATTTCAACATCCACACCACTTTGATTTCTTTAAATATGGACGGAGGTATGCCACAGATTATTTCAGGCACAAATAATAAGTCTAGCACTTATGTGTAAAAACTTCTACACAATATTTGAACCAAAGATTTAATGTAAAAACCTCAACGAAGATAGAAGAGAGTAGTCAAAGTGACTGCATGTTAGCGTGCAAATTCAATACTCAGTTTAAATTTAGCATTCCCATATTGAGTTAATGATTAAAATAAAAATCTTAATTATTTAGATGGATACGAGACCTAATATGTTGATTTATGCTAATGGTCTTTTATTCCAATTTTTTTTTTTTTTTATGTGCTTATTTTTCTAATGGATACTTATGGTTGCTAAGAATCATTTCTGTTCACCCGTCCATTTTACTTCAACAATAACAAATACACAAAAAAAATGAAACTAATTTTAGGGTGAGGAGTTACCCCCCTGGTCCAAACAGTGGAAAGTTACCAGACACAGCGGATTGTCCCTGTGTTTATGAAGCCTGGGCTACTGGCCTCCATTCTGGTGATGTAAGCGCTTCCACCAGCCTTCAAATAAAATCCCCGGCTTTGAAAACAAAATAAAAAAATTAGCAGAATGAGGTGGGAAAGTGCTTTTATAATTAATAAAATTAGAAGATTAATGTCATAGGTCAACTCAGAACATTTGATTTCAAAGGAACAGGCTGTTCTTTACGGTTCGAGGGCATGACTACTATCAGTCCTAATCCACAAGGAATGTGTGTAATGTGGCAGTTTAATAATAACCTTCTAATCCTATTACTTTGTCTTTGTTTCTATGGCATTTGTTAAACACAACCTTAAATAATCAAACTCATGTATAAATGCTAAATAACTATCATTTTGGCATCATTCCCAAAGTTTACCGCATTTTAATTATCTAAATCTAAACCTCTACAATCAACTATTGGTGGTTAAAAATGTTACACGACTTTTGTTAGTAGCCCCAAAGTGCTGGGTTTGGTTTTTGGTTTGTACTCAAACAGAAACAAGGAAAGTACTTCACAGCCAAATAAACAAAGGTTTTATGTTATTTTGACTACCATGATAATAATCCATCTTATACAGTTTGATTGCATAAAAGCTCAAAGGCGTGTTTGTTATTGCAGGTGCGCACTGCAAACTGTTTTTAATATGTTACAATACATTTCTAAATCCTGTTTACTAAAGGTAAATCTGTTAAAAGTATAAACTGTCTGTTTGCAACACACAAAACAAGAAGAAACCATATGGTTAAAGAAAATTAGTATTAACTGCAATTAATCCAAAATGTAACTTCAGTGAAGCCAAGAGCTATTCAACCATTTGATGAG